TTGACTGCTCTGAAAATTGGCGATTTGCATCTGAATAAAACAAAAAGAAGGAAAATAAAAGAAACAAAAATAAATCCATACATAAAAATTAATGTATTCTATCATCAATAACATAAGGTATAGTTACACAAAAAAATAAAATTAGAGGAAAACAAGTTTATACATAATCTTAACGCGATTATAAAAAAAAAACAAATTTTACATGCTATCAACACAAGAATGCTACTATGTTTTTTTATTAAAAGAAAACAGTAATTTACAATTTTTCTAAAACAATCGCCTACCGTTTTTCTAACCAGCGCTCACACTTACACATAAAATTGTCAATTTGGCTTCGATTTTAGGGCTCATTTAGATTTATTTGTGATTTAAGATTAATTCAAGTAGACAATCGAAATTTGTAAGAAGTAATGTCAAAAACAATTAGAAATGAACAACAGTCGACAAGAAACTGCTTCAAATTATTGGAAACTTCGTTGCACATGATTAGCCCAAAGATTTTATGTAAAAAAAACTGAATCTTGTCAACTGTAAATTTAAATAAAGCAATACTTAAACAGCGCAGTACTGAACGCACAATTAAGCAACAAAAAACAAACCAAATGTCGCACATAACATTAAAAATTTAAGAACTAATGAACGATAACAAAAAAGGTAAAGTACATATAATGCTAGCTTCCAAATAAAATGTACTAAGAGGATAGTAATATTGCTGCCGCCTGTATTAGACGTGACGACGGCGCGGGTGAAAATATTTTGTGGTGTAATTTTTATGATGATCAATGAACAATACGAAGTGTTTGTTATTTATCCTGAAGTCTTGGTTTGTCAATGGAAAATGTTTTACAAGTGCCCGACTGTATGTAATGTGAAGTCATGTTCGAACGTGTAATTTTGAAATTATACAGGGTTGTTGGCAAAATACTAACAACCTAGCAGTTAAACATATAGTCATATTACTAACATCACAAACAACAACTTTTGTTCCGGGACTTTTACATCAGTTTTCACTTTGATATAAAAATAAGAATATTCAAATAGATTGATCTGATAACCAAAAGGAGCGGGGGTGCGAGGATGTCAAGGAGGACATTTGCACGATTGGACTTCCTAGTTTACTACCAAATACAGGCCTAAAAAGTGTCAGATAGTACAACAAAAGTTTAAAAGTTTATTTTTGGTAAATTTATTATTTTCTTAAGCTGATGGAGCAGAGGGCGTTCGGGCTCGCACTCTCCGAGTTTCTCGGAATTTATTTGCAAAATTTAATTTGAATTACCATGAGCGTTTCGGTGAAAGAAAATATCGTGGTGAAACCTGTACGTCAAACATTTTACAACCCTCGATAGACGTGTGAAGCCCCAACCCGCATTGGTCCAGGGTAGCAAGAGGAGACCGTGCCCAATAGTGGGACGTTTAAACGGGTTGATGATAATGATTATCTTTTGTAAAAAGACATGGAACAAAAGTTGTTAATTATGATGTTAGAAATAATTTCTGCAAGGTTGTTAGTATTTTACTCAATTAAGTCAACTCATTTCGGGCCTTATGTATTTGTTTTTAGATCATGTCTACTGAATGTCATTGATTTTAATTATTTAATATACAAAATACCGTCTATTTCGTATGTACAGAACACGTATAACTATCCTCTTAACGTACATTTGTTTGCAAACCAGACTAACTTGGTCAAACTAAATTGGTTTTACAAGGCACATAATGTATTACAGATCTTTTTTCTTAAACTCACGTGCCCAATAAATGTCAAAAATTGTGTAACGATTAAGTAAACTTCGCTTCATATGCCACAAAACTAAAAAATAATAATACAATAAATAAACAATCAACTAAAATAATTAAAAAAAGTTTGTGCTGAAAAAATAAGTACTGATAGTGCAAAAATTATCCGACAGTTTGGCGAATTTCGATGTGATTATCAATTATAACAGATAAATAATGCGAGCAGCAATAAATAGTCTTAAGTGTTAGAGAATTGCGCTGGTTGGGCCAACCTCTAACATCGTAGGTAACTAGTGTAGGTAATTAGTGGCCGTGCGGCATTCGCGCCGCCCCGAGGCCTCACCTAAACCAATATTTCTAGTAACTGAACGCTGCAAGCTCCTCTAAGAACATTTACACTATCCATTTAAAAAATAAATTGTCTTATTCAACAGGATCCCGCAACACTCATACGCCAGGCCTCATCACACGCTCCCATACACGCACCCAAAATATTCCTATCCAAACTTTATTATGTTATCTCCTTGTCCGCTTAATTTTAAATATAGTTTACATATAAATTAAAATATAGAGTGAAAACTACACATTTCTTACAATGTACTATGTACAAGGCATCTCTTGTCGCTCCTTTTAAAACGTTACAACATTTTAATTTGTCCATAACGTTACATTTTGAGTTCGGTTTGCGTCCACGCGTTTGAATACGCTAAATGCAAACGCACAATATGAGGCGCAGAAACTGACCAATAGAAACACTAGGACGTCTAGCGAAAGGATTCTTATTGGTTGGTGGTAACGTGATATCTTCCGTCAGCCCGCGTTGCCATGGAAACCTTTATTTATAGGTAGGTATATCATGATTCACTCGCGGCTGCCCTCACTGTAAACGTTCATACAAAACCTATCTGGCACTAACATGTATATATTTATTACAAAATGTATAATATATTATGTATATACAATCACAACATAAATTTGATAAACAACCGAGAGAAAGAGAAATATTGGTGTTACAGATTTTTGTTTCGAACTGTCAACTTTACATTGGACTCGTTAATATAATTTACTTGCACTTTACTTTTCTATTAAATCAAACTATCGATTTGTTCTAAGTTATAGATTATTATGTCGATTCACGATTCTCATTCATCACTCTGTCCTATTGCGTTTGCGAGTGTTGGTCACTAAACAATAATATGGAACTCGCATAGTAGGCGAATCTAGTTCTTCTAGCAGAGTATTATTGTCATTCCGAATTATATGGCTTCCGGCACATTATCTAGCAACGGATAGAGAGAAACAACGTTGCTAAATACACGCGAGTGCAGTTAGGGTCATTCGTTTAACTTGCCACAGTACAACGTACACGTTTACGTTACGTTTCTCTGTTATTTGTCTCTGACCTAATACGACAGCTCTCGTTATAATAGAACGGATAGATCGGAATAATCAATTATAAATTGATATAACGTTTAAGTAATTTTTTCTTTTGTTTTTAAAAACATAATTTGATATGTCTACAAAACCATCTCGTTAAAAGACAGATTTTGCTCTACAATTGTTCTGTCTGTCTACTGTAAACATTTAGTAGGAACATCATTTGAATAAAATGTGTGTGGAGATCATATCTTTTGTACAGGATGTTAAATGTTAAGTTAATATAAGACGTCCACATGCAATGGACCTAACAGTTGTTCGTCCCTTCGTCTGTAATGCAATTAACACTCTGTACACCTGGAACATGGTAAATATTTGATTACTTTGCGCAATAACACAACGGTGTCTGTCTTCTTGACCTAATTTGTCGTATCGTAAAATCCCAATTCTTTCACTCTTTATTAGTTTAAAAGGGACAACAATGTAGTTTAGCCAATTCGTATAGGAGCTACAGAATTTACACCATTTAGTTGCTATTTAGGTCAAAGTAATAAAGTATATTTCCCGCGTCATATTGATCTAGAAAACATGTACATCCAAAACTAGTCGACTGTCAGGCACTTATTTATTACTGTTGAAAATATTCTGAATGAAAATATTAAGGGTCTGTTCACATTAATCGACACCACAACGACAATATGCCGAATTCCGTCGATGATGTCGAAATGTAATATTGCATATTTGTACAAACGGTTCAACGTAGCGAAAATTTCTTCTGATGAACAATATATTACAGGCACTCAGGGGTAATACTATATTAATAAAATAATATATTATTATAATAATGTGTCAAGACGACAACACCAATTAATCTGTTCTCAAACTAGAGAATTCCCTGTACCAAAACAGAAAAGTTAATTCCTCAAATTGGTCCTAAAACCGGGAAGAGAACCCAGTGCCAACAGTGCAAACCGTTGGGCCACTGAGGTTATCTTATACAGGTAAGTTATTATTATAAGATTTGTGCAATATTCGAAATAAATTGAGTAACAGTAGATTTAGTATTCTGAAAATGATATATGTAAAGATTTCATTATTGCACTGAAAGTAAATAAAGTTGTAAAGTAAGCTTAATTTTTTTCGGGAATTTATGTTATTCTCATATTTGTACCCAATAATATGATAATTATTGTTAAATCGCTGTGGTGTCGATTAATTTGAAAATGACCCGATAAAAGATAATTTATATTAAGAACTATAAATTATTGCTAAGAAATTATATTAAGTCAACACATTGTTTAAACAATTTTTAAACAAGCCACATTACTCGTCAGAAACGTGTACCACGCACAACCACCACCGTTGCCACACAAAAAACGATCTAAAACGAAACTTATCTGCTTAAAAATACGAATAAATTTAACATCATACACTCGCAAGATAAGAAATAGTTGCGAAATTCTAACAGTTATTGCGAAAACTACATAAGTGATCCCGTACATACCGACATATTAAAATATTCTTGGCCCACTTCCGTTCAACATTAGAGTAACGGGTGGAATAAAAGATATAATGTAGTAAAGTAATGGTACGAGGTTCTTGAACAACTTTCTTTAATTTGCCAATGCATATGAAGAAGCAGTAGAGCTACTGCTAGTTCCTATTTGGGTTTTAAATGGAAATGATAAAAATTACAGGCATATATAACTGTCAAGTAACTTATGTCTCAGGGCGACGGTTACAGTGGCAGCGCACTCAGATCTATGCGATTTAAAGCATTGAGTGGCACTGCGACTATTACAGACACGCATGTCGTTTAACACCAGGCGTACGAAATGTTCGTCCCGTCACTTGATATTATAAAAAAAGTACAGGGGCACGCTTAATGCAATTTAAAGTTCTGAATTAGTTTCAAATGAAAACTAGATTTGTATGAGATATATAAACAAGAAATATTCTAATTTGTTTGAATGGAATAAAATTACACTACATCTTTTATTCAATCCGTCATTATACGATTTGTAATTTTTTTTATAGCCCCTTTTACGAAGCGTATTCGTGTGTTCCCGATAAATACAAAATTTCTGATAGGGAAATTACTACAACACAAAAACCCTTAAGATATGATTAGTCTATCACTTAATTAGGAGTCGCGTTATTTTCAAGATTTGTAAATTTATAGTATATATAGCTGTTGACTAGCCACGAACGACGAAAACCTGATGGTTTCTGTTCAGTGTTGCCATTCAACCTTGCTGATTTTACCAATTTTTGATACAAAGATCGAACACACAAAGAAAGATTCAAAAAGCGTCGAATGATCTAGCTTTCAAGCAATTAATCCTCAATTTCATGTTGCAGTCTCTATCTGCAACCTATTAGTCTGACATTGTTGTGTATATATGGGTTGTTTATATAAGGATATAGTCGTGTATATAATGTATGTATATTTAATAATTATCTTCAATCATAATCATGTATTTTCATGTTATGCGCCCCTGTTAATTTTTCTTGTTCTTATTATACAATCTTTAGCAACAATAAGGGACATTCTCCTCAAAATATTCTTATCAGTCAGCATGCCAATGCGCAGTATGATATAGAAAGAATTTAGGGTAAACCCAACCTTGTATTTTTATAGTTTGTTTTTTAATGTAATGTATTTTTGTGTCCTGTAAATATTTGCTGTATTAAACTTAGAACTGGGAAAAGCGTAAGTGGTATTTCAGTGTGCTATTTTCAAGCAGATGTATGCCTCTCTTTCTCTTATGCAGCCAGTATGCCAACTGCCTGAAAGAGACAGCAATAAAGAACCCTTTTTAATTTTAATTGCATCGATATTATTCTTCGATTAGTGCCTTGATTCTATGAAAGAAGCACGGCATCCTTTAATGAAACACGCGTTAGTTCCGAACCCCCAGTGAGAGGTATTGGTCCATTAAGTATTTCAATAAGTTTTTCGCACAAATCAAAAGGTAAAACAAGGTTTTAATGTCATACACAGGACGTCACTATGAATTTACCCATCTTGCTTCGAGAGTCCACACACAAAATGTCACCATGGCAACGATGCTTATTCCCAATTGCTTTTTTTTTGCGTGTAGCAAACACGTTCTTGGTCGGTTCCAAAACATAACAAAACACGTTTCTTGTTTCGGTGTATGTCAATGGATATTTCAATGATGTTAAAAAATTCAGGCATGTTTACCAAATATTGTAATATGACCACAAAGATGCGGTGATCGTAAACCCTTAAGTATATATAATATAATAAATCAGTAAATACAGTTTCTAAAATAAAAGATATTTTGTTGGTTCTAAAGGCTTGGCATGCTATATGAACCGAAGACCTGGTAAAAGCTGTTGCATGCGGCTTAGAATCGTATTGTTTTTAATATTGATTAGGGTTAACATGACAATTTCCGATTAAGGACCATTAAGGAGAGTATCGTATTTAAACAACAATATCTTAAGTGGGAAACTAAATACAATTCGTTTTCACACATCTGCTTTTCTCTCCGCTTTCGTAGATAATGGGCCTTATATTTCTGTTGGCAACTTCAGGCTGACATTGCACTTGTAGATTTGAAATTGTCAACACATCGCGTTACGTCTAATCATTATAAACTGTAGTTACTTCCATGTGGGGTGGTTAGGCGGCGGGTGGTCACTCGCGCGGCGCGTTTTTAAGCAGCGAGATCGCGTACCGCACGTACTGCACGAGGTGGCGAAACGTCGAAAACTGTGTCAACGGACCACATTTGCGGTCCACTGCTATAAACAGATCTGTGAAGAGAGATTTTGTCGTTACTTAAAAGTCACATTTATCCTCCTAAAACTCAGCAAACTACAGTGGAAAAAGCGCTAAACTCCCAATGTGTATTGCACTAAAATGCTCTAATTATAATTATCTAATGCAGACCTAGTTATCTAGTTTTTCTAGTTACTCTATGGTCTTCAATAGACCTATTTGAATTGATTTGGCTCTAGACAAAAGGGGTGCAAGTAAAAAAACCAACGAGACGCGAAAAATAGTTAAAGCTTATTATGACATTAAGCGTGTTTCGTTTCCATGTGAAATTGGCATTTTTTACTTGTACCCCTTTTGTCTAGAGCCACAGAATTTAGCGCTATATTTTCTATAAGTCACTTTAGCACTGATAGCTTCAATTGAAGAAAATTGGTTGTGCAAAGAAAGAAATTGTAGAAAAAAGAGAGTGCAAATACCTTGGTTGGCCCTGAGGCGGCACAGGCAGTCTGCCTGCTCCCAGAGCTCGTGCGCGACGTACAGGAAGGTGTAGTACTTGGTGAGCTGCAGCAGCGCGTTGTGCGCGTGCGCAGGCACCGAGTGCGCCAGCGAACAGTAGCCGCTGGACGCCGACGCCACCGACCCCACCGAGCCCACCGACCCCGCGGGCGACGGCGTGGGCGACAGCGGCGACACAGACTCGGGCCCCGCCGGCTGCGAACCCGTCGACACTCGTGTAAATGACGCGCCAGTTTGGGCTTTGAAGGTATATATCACAAAACACGCAAACAAAAATGGAATAACTCGACGACCTCGGTAGCCCAACGGTGTGCGCTGTGGGCGCTGGATGACCGAGGTTCCGCATTCGATTCCCGGTAGGATGAATTTGGGAAATTAACTAATTGCTTCTGGTCTAGTTGCTCTGGTACTCATAGTAAAGAGTTCCATAGTTTGAAACCAGATAATTCGTGTGGTTGTCAGACAGAAAACTATCGGAACCGTAAGTGTATTTTCAAAGTTAGTTTCAATGACAAAAATGGTTATTTGAATTTTTCTCATAATTCTGCCAGGTAATGGCAAGCTCTGATGGTTAAATTTCAAAAAACCTTTTTATTTTATAACTCATTGTCATTCATGTGAGTTATTAGGCATAAGGACCGTTGAACTCCGGCTCAAAAGGCCCATTATAGAGTACCGGAAATTGCATTTACCAATTTAACAAGACCATCACCATCAACCCTTTATACATCCCACTGCTGGGCACGGGTCTTGTCTGAAGAGAAGTCTGGGGATATCACAGGTTTTCCAAGTATTGTGAATCGTCTTTAAGTTTCATAACGATGTTTTCCTTTACCGTTAGCGTAGCATACGCAGCTTAGAAATTACAATCACACTTGAGATTTGAATTCATCACATGTGACCTCTCAAACGAGCACCAGTCGCTCTCCCACTGGGTCACTGAAGCATGGTCACAGAGAGTATATACGGGAAACAAACACCGCTTGACCGTTAAACAGTAAGAATTTAAAGATTCAAACTGTTATAAATTACAGAGCGTTATACTCCGTCCAACCATTTAATAAACTTTTCACATAAACGTGCCCATGAAGTTCCATAATTATTGACAAGCAACTATAGACAGAAAATTCAATACTTAATGAACACCGATTTTTCTTTACTATATTTACTATAGTGAAACGACGTGCTTTTTAACTCTGATTCCGATATTTATCAACACCGACAGGTTATGTAACGAAGATTATTCAAATTGATTTCACCGTTGTGTAGATTTTTGGTACCTGTCTAATAAATTATAATGAAAATAGATAAATTTGAATTAATTATAATAAATTCTAATAGTTTACTGTTCCGCTGACGTCGCACCTTACCTCATTTCTTAATACCTAATACAATGTTGAAAACGCCAATATGTTATATCGATTAAAACTTTTTTTACTTTATAAACTATCATTGTTCAAAGAATTAATTGTGAATTAAAATTACAATTAAAGTTTCTTCGTAAATAAAATCGATTGTCGACTCGGTAATGCACTAGAACATCGCTAATTGGTTAGTAGTCGAGCTGTCAAAAGTAAATTTTATAGTTGGACGGACTAGGAGTGTTCGAGAGTTACAAAGTTGTAAGGCTTACTTGCCAACTCAAATGTACTGAAGTATATACTGATTTGGTTATAATAAAAAATAATAAAATAAATAAAAGACTTGGAAGAGACACGTACGACGTTTACCTTTTGTTGATATTCCTGGACAATCTTGTAGTATTCTTTCACTTCACGATTGTACATTTTGAACATCCGCAGGTACAATAGAGCTTGCACTCTTAAGCTGTATAAAAAAAAACAAAGTATTATAATCACACGAGAGAGAGAGAGAGAGAGAGAGAGAGTTAACAGGTATTTATGAAACTGATTAGTGATTTATCAGTTACCACCAGACATAGAAGTTTTTGTAACAGGAAAAAAGTTTCTAGTGATTTGTCGATATAAATTTTATCGATAAATTATGTTTATTACTACTACACTATTAAACAAAGCATAAATGGAGTGAGTAATTTTCAGGCTAGTTAGTTAACCTGATTTCGGTGGCAATTTTTATTACTTAAATATTCTAGAATACTATTATGAAGTATTTATTCCTTAGTATTCGAGTGTAATATCCTGAAATATTATTTCATATTTCACGATAATATACTGGAATATTTAAATAATAGAATTGCCACCGAAATTAGGTAGATTTCTCTACTTAATTTCGGTGTATGGATGTATACTTCGTTTCAATCCATTTTGAGTAAAAGGTAAACAAAGAAGTGACTGACTGACCCGACCATAGACGGTTTAGTGATGGCCAATTGTAATGCCAACAACAAATCGATTATTTAATTGAGTGAATAAATTTGTTTAATTGAATCATACTAGCGGTTTTCCTTAGATAAAATATACAAGCACGTTTAAAGTTTCCGAAATCTTAATTTTAAATCCTCCTTCAAATCCTTATGCTTGAGATAGTCGTTCGATTGCGATTAAAATTTTGGATTTTCTAATCGATCACAAAAATTTTACAGCACTATGCAACCATAGACAAGTCATAGTTGTATAGTTGAAAAATAACCTCACTTTTGGATTACCATTATCAAATACGATATTTTCGATGCGATTCAAATGAATATTCTTAGAAAAATGAGTTTAAAAATGTTTAAAAATAGTCTCTATTTGTATATAACGAACCTGAGTATATCGAGTTTGCTGAATGTAGAATGCGGCGAGGCTCGGAAACGTTGCGGCATCGAATGTATACTTTTAATATACTCGATAGTCTCGCGATAAATCGTGAAGGCTCTTTTGGTGTCCAGTTCTAGTTCCAACACACGTCCGGTGAGAACGAAGCATAGTACCGACTCGAGGTACAACATGACACGAGATAAGGGTTCTTGCTCTCTTTCCGCCGCTGTGCGTAAACGTTTTGCCTCGCTTAAGTAATATCTGAAAAATTAAGTAGTAATTAAGAATGGTATATCGTCGTGGATAGTAAAATTATGTGGTTTAAGACATTTATTCTCACTAAGAATTATAAATAACTCACTTACATGAGAACTCAGAGAGACATATTATTACATTTTTTTTTCTTTAGAAAGCGTACAAGGACGGTAGTTCAACTATAAAATAATAAAGTTTTACCCGCATTCTAATATAATAACAGACAACACGGTCTCAGGTGCTAACTCTAAGCGCAACCATGGATGTACTAACCGACTATGCCCACTGCTTATACTAGATGTGGCTCAGTATGTTAATTAAAATTTTATTTCTTTTTAGACTTTTACCAAAGACAACAAATAATAAAAAATCTATATCATTACAGGTGGCATGTTTACTTTTATTTTATTAGTCCTAGTATGGTGCTAGTAATTTATTTATTTGTTTTTAATTTAATTTTATTTTATTTTATTTATATTTTAATAAATAAATACATTTATTACTCATAACTAGCATTTGATTATGAGTGTCCATTTCGGTATATTAGTCGCCAAATCGAATCCGCGTAAATGTCGTGGCAACCACATTAGCGTGATTTGCGGGAATCTATTATTATCAGTCCGTAGATAACATAAATTAATGCTTACTGTGCAAAAATGAAAGTCGTAGCCATTGAAATAACAAAGTAATAACGTTAAATTCTTCTATTGGTTTGGTGCAGATACGCGCTTTTTACCAATACTACATACGCGGATTTGTACTATCCCCGACGATATTATACTGGTTGAAAATAAAAAAAAAGAGAAAAAAGGTCCGATCGTATTTCAGCTATTGATCGCACTATTATGAGACTTTGCAAAAAAAATCCTTTCACAAATAACGGCGCATGTTCTGTTTAGGGCATAAAACATTTAACCCAAATTAAAATTAAACCTATCGTGGTTCTATCACTAGTAAAACCACTTATGACACAAAAAATATCATGGTTTAAAAAATTATAACGATATAAAAAATGTAACGGCATGAACATAATAATCAGCTGATGCAGGGACATTTTGTTACCCCTGTAAATACTATAACGGCGCGTATTCTAAATATTTAACCCGAACCAACCAAACCAAACCTGTCGCGGTTCTATCAGTAGTAAAAAAGTTAAGGCAAAAAAAATCATATTAAAAAAATCATGATTTAAAAAAAATATACACAAATTTTTTTTTTATTATATACAGGGTGGAACGGAACGACCGACAAAGCCGAAAATATCACGTTGAGAACCCAACATACATGAGTTTTATTTACTTTAAATGTAAAATCAGAACAGTTGAAAAATATTCGTCCAGATTTAAAACTTTCGCGGTGCAACAACCCTAAGCGAATCAATCTTGTTAGTACATCTACTGCCCCACAGGCGGCGTTCGTGTCATTGGCACTCGCAAAAGAAATAAGTGCTCTCACTTGAATAGGTAATTAAAAAACATTGAACTTACTTTAAATTAAAATGATGTTCGATTTGTCCACGTCCCCTTTACTCTTGCAGACATTCCAGACACATTCCTGGGTGTGCCGGTCATACGCCGATGTGGTTTTCCACGCAAACACACTAATACATTTCACTTGCTTAACACAAGCACTACTTAATAACGGCATTATTCCAAAAAGTTGCTGTCACAACCCAAAAACTAACAAGTAAACGTTGTTTTTTTGTTGTAAACACGAGAAAAACATGAGACCACGAGTTACCATACAACCAGGCATTTTGAACTAATTTATGAATGAAAAAGTGTTACCAACTAGACTAAAGCAAATATCACTAAACAGAATGGTCCCAGTAAAGGTAAAAGACTCCTGAATACTAAGATAAAAATAATATTAAATTATTAAATTATAAAATAAAATATTAAATAAAATTAAACCTAATTAAATACGCGTCAAAAAATACCAATTTTTTTTGGCGCTAGAAATAAAAGACGCTTTTGATTTCAAATCATCACATAAAGGGACAAAGTCGCTTAATTGGCAACTCTGCATAGAGATGCGCGCGGCGGCGGCGTACGCGTCGGATATCATTGATTATTAAATATCTAAATGTTAATTTTAAAAAGACAATTATGATAAAGAAAACTTTCGCAATAATCGTATTGTCTGGTATAAGTACCATGAGCAATTTAAAAGTAAAAGTAAAGTAAATGCAGATCGTTTAATGAATTGTAATAAATAATCAAATTTAATCAAAACTAAGAAAGCGAAACGTGGAGGTGGTCTGCAGACCTCCAAGATCCTCGGATTTATTTATTTTTACATTACATTTATTAAAATTTCAACTACACAGCTCAAGTTAACAGAAATTTTAGTTTTAAATGTTGATATCAATAGAATGAACTCTTCGTTTTAAAGTTAGTAAATTCTTGTAGTGTAAATTAAAACTATTTCCAAATGCACTCATAAATAGACTAGTACAAAAAAAACGATCTCCCCATTATGCTAGCAAAAACAGATAACAGTTATCAAGTGTCCATCTCTAAATTTCTACTGACGTGATTGGCTGCCTCAATTTACTATTTTACGTTAGGGCCGGATTAAGGGTTACGAGACTATTGTAATTTGAGTAGGTACTTGACGCGTGTTGTAAAACGTGTTTACTTAATTTAGTTATGTTTATTTAAGTTAGTCTTATCTTATGACGCAGGCAACATGAGTTAAACTCCTGATACTTCACTTTTCTTAAGTTGACAACAACCTAAGAAAAGTGAAGTCTAAATGACCCTGTCAACTATGCGTTGTCATAAACTACCTACAAAGGTTTAGAAACAAAATGTTTCCCGAAGATTCTATGAGAGGTGCATTTTTTCGGTAAATGTAAATATTGGGTCGTCAAACACGCAATCTAGGGGTGTGAATTACTCTCAAAGTAATACAATAAAATACCCGCGTAATTAATCATCATTCACATGATGACTGATCAAAGAAAGTGGTTGATCAAAGAAAGCGACTGATGGGGTGCTGATCAACGACGGAGGTCAACGACCTACTAAATTACAAAGTTTTTGCCCTGAGTACCTCCCAGTAGTTGCCTCCAAACAGCTGTGTTTTATGATGTAGGGTTGACAATACAGACTTTTCAAGCAAATCTTTATCATTGAATAACTCGGAAACTATTACACTTAGAGCAAAAACACTTTCAGTACAATTAAGTACATATTTAAGACTCTTCACAGTTTTCCGCTTTGTCGGTCGTTCTGTTCCACCCGGTATATATGTGCCTAAGTTGTTCCTTAAACGTTCAGTCTATTACAATGATAATATGGATTAAAATTTAGAATTCACAGTATTGTATAGACCTTTTTGAATTTAAATTTACGTAGCTTTGAAAGCGTAAACAATAGTCCGTTAGGTTTCATTCTTGGAATGGCGCGTCAAATTGAAATCCATTATGGTATTTTTATAACTCGGTAATGTTTTATAAAATGTTGATATTTAAGTGCTAGGCTCTTGTTAGTAGAGTAATCGCCAACAATCTCTGTTCAGTGCCCCAAGATTTGGTAAAAAAAATTCTTATAATTTTTTACACTTAATAATAATAATTTACATAATAATTTATTTTTTTTAGATATTTGGTTAAAAAACATTTGGCTCAGAACGATATAGTACCAAAATTGTAAGGGACACCGTGTTTTCTCTACGATGTGTGACGGGTTAATGAACTTAAAAAACAAACAAATATTTACTTGTGATCTCTTTCTTCGTCAGAAAGTGCGTCTGCAGGTAGGCGTTCGAAATACGAATAGTAAATGGGCGTCTGGCCGGCGCACGCCGTCCGCTCGTGGTTCGTGGCTGCCACGTCCTGTGGCATAAAAGAAATATAAGTGTGTAGTGTATCTAGAATTAGCAATGTTTGTGACATGCAATAAATAAATAAATACGGTAGTTTGTACAACAAGTGTATATCCATCCGAGCCGAAGGCGAGAGTGGATACTTTAGTCGAGGGTAAAATAAATTTTATGAACGAGTTATATACACTCTGCTTTTCACTTCGATTGCGAGGAAACTAAACAGCAATATTACAAGTAAACGATAACACAACTATTGCCAAGAAAAAATAAGAATTTTCCGCCAATGTACTACTTTTTTTTCTACACGTGACTCAGGTCGGACTACATATTGCTCAGTTATATTTTACAAGCTTTTATTTTTTATGCATTTCTATTACTTATAACTATTGCCTACTTTTTTAATTTTGTAATATAACACGGATTAAAAACCAAAAGTAAAACTTTATTTTATAAAGTTCTAGTGTGCGTGGCTGTTGGCGCAGGCGTCATTGCGTCGGTCTTAAACGACGATTTTATTTTATGCATTAGAGCATAAAATCCTATTTTATGCAGCCTACACCCAGCATAAATACGAACTTTAAGAGTATGAGAAGTGAAAAATAAATAAATACCTGCGGCGGCGGCGACGCGGGCCTCTTGGCGGGCTGCTTGGGACGCTGCAGCGCGCGCACCAGGTCGGCGCGCAGGCGCGACAGCTGCACGCTCACCAGCAGCCGCGAGCGGCAGCGCCGCTCCACCACTGCAACACGACCACACACCGCTGCACTCTCGTGGCCTAGGCCGTAGTACGAAGAGACAAGTAGGCGACTCACCCCACGTCATTACTTTCAACACAGCCATGGTCGGTAATGAGAAGAAAACAGGCCCGAGGGTTTTACTTTGTGGCAATCGTAGTAGTTACTACGTACTGCCACCTTACCTATTTCTGCTAAGGGTGCTGGTGCAATTACAGGCACATGAGACTTGTCAACTTATGTCTCAGGGAGTCGGGCGTAGTGGCAGCGATTTAAAGTTCTGAGTAGCACTGCAACTGTTATGGATAGGCGTGTCGCTTACCACCAGGTGCACAATTTGTTCGTCCTGTCACTTAGTATTATTAAAAAAAACGTATAAACAAACAAACAAAAAAGTGTAATAAAAAACATTGTTTGTTTCACATTGTTCAAAATTATGCTAATAATAGTTACACACAAACTCATAGCCCCGCTCTATGAATACCCTGTATCGCGGATGTCATAGACACACATATACACAACCACGAATTACACCCCAACTCAAAAGAGAAATAAATGTACGCCATACAAATATTTCTTCCGGCCCGGGAATCGAACTCGAGACCTCTGCGTGGGAGACCATCATGGTAACCATTCCGCCACGGCAGGCAGGCAGTTGAATGTATGTGTACGGCGCAAAGCGGGCATGAATACGCGCGTACAAAAAACCCAAATTCCATAGTCAAAAGCAACTAGTGCCTGGATACCATAGATTTAGAAAAAACGTTTGTCAAATATAAATTCTAATTCTTTGTTCTTCAATAATGGTTTGAAACTTTCATATGGTATTTATGACTTTCTTTATATAAATTTCTTAACAAATTTAACGTGGCTCAATCTCTTCAAAAACGGTGGCCTCTATGTCTCTCTCAGGCAAATACATAAATTTTGAAACAATACAAAACTAGACTCACAATTTGAGGAAGCCTCTTCTAGTCTCTCCGAGCCTCGTCCGGACTTGAGACCCGAGCCGACGTCAGCTTCGGCCCTAACATACCGCTCCCTTTCAGGTACGACGCGTTCCACCGATAATTTGTCTCCACCCAGTCGATCGATTGACATTTTATCGCTTATCTTCTCACTCGACAACCTTTCGAGCGCCGTCTTTTCGCCCGACACACGTTCACTTGAAACGCGTTCGGACGATAACCTCTCACTTCCGAGTCGATCGGAGGATAACCTCTCGCTTCCGAGTCGATCGGAGGATAACCTCTCACTTCCGATTCTTTCAGAGGATAACTGATCGCTGGAACGACGGTCTAGACGATCAGCGGCAAGCCTGTGGCCGGGCGAAAGACGGTCTGTACGTCGATCCGATAGTCTATCAGGATGCCGGTCTGACGATCGGTCGGACAGCCGATCTGACAGCAATCGATCGCTTGCCAGCCGATGACCGGGTGATAATCTGTCGCTGGTGTGTCGTTCTGACAATCTGCAAGGACAAAATACAATGAGCCCCAAGAACAGTGGGTGCTACTTTCAAATACGAAACCTCTGTCTCATACATTGATTTTTTTTTTTTAAATAACGCACACACTCAACATAGCCCCGCACTAGGGAAACCCTGTGTCGCGGGTGCCATGGACACACACATAGACAACCACAAATTACACCCAAACTCACGAGAGAAATAATTGTAGGCTATACAACTATTTCTCCCGGCCCGGGAATCGAACCTGGGACCTGTGCGTGGCAGTCCGGCATGGTAACCGTTCGGCCACGGAGGCAGTTATTTAGGCAGTATATTGATTTGAACTTTCACGATTTTTACACATTGTTTGATTTGAAAAAATTGTAACTTAATCGCGTATAAATATATGTACAGTCAAGAGCACGTCAAGCTTGACACTTTGTACTTTGGACCGTTCTTAACGTAAGCGGTATAGAGTTGGATTCTTAAGTGTCAAGCTTGGCGTGCTCTTGACCCTGTATCTCGCCGTTTGGGAAGGGATTGAGTCTATTCGAGACCCCTTAATCTCGATCATGGTCGACATTTTGGACGTGTTGCAATGTCTACATATATTTATACGCGATGAAGTTCCGATTTATTTTTAAATTAACTCTCTCATTGATTTGTTTTATTTTTCTGTGAAATAAATCGAACAAAAAATCCTCTTTCGTGTCCTCTAGTCGGGTTGAAGGATTTTTCTTTGTGTACGATATTGTATTTAATAATTATAACAAACTATTAAAATAAACAAATCAATAATACATGTTCATAAAAAGCGACATCAAAATCAGCTTGGAAATTCACCGGCTGAGTGAGATGACTTGACAATGGGGACGGAATTCCGTGGATGCTGGTTCGTGTACTGTCGGGTCGAAGGATTTTTTCTTTGTTTTCGATCTTTGTATTCAATAATCATAACAAACTCTTATCTCATCTTTGATAAATATACTAAGAAGAATTCATTTATTTGGAGTGCAAATTTTACCAAATTTTTAACCCATTCCGAGATATTCAATACAAGTTTACATCCTTAAAGTTAAAATTTATTACCTCGTTCATTTTTTAGTAGTGAAGTTAAGTTAGAAAACGTTGTTTATGATAAATGTATTTTTATGGATTTCTTGTTAGTTTTGTAACTATTAATGTTATTTCAATATTTTCAAATAGGTTAGTGGTTGGAGTATGATCTACTTATCGACTGCTTAAAGTACCACGAAGTCACATTTGCGTTTTTATCTCAACTCTATAGCCCTTTTACGTGACTATGTTATCAATGCTTATTAACTTTTTCCATTGGCATCAGCAGGGAACTGTTTGCTTATTTTCATATTTTAATTTATATTGTGTTGTTAATATAAGCTATTTGTACCGTTTGAGATAAAATAAATATTCTGTGGCAGACAACTAACGCGTTATATCCATTTGTAATTAATTATTTTAAAATAGATACAAACTAACCTGTCAGTGGATAAACGATCGGTGGTCGACAACCTGTCGGCCATGCGATCGCTTGGAGGTATCCGGTCGTTAGACGTCCGCTCGGTCGGTATCCGCTCGGTCCGGTCATCAGAACGCCGGTGGTCACTATGTTCTATAGAGTGCGGCCTGATGCGTGGCCTCATAGAGGACCTCTCTTCCTTCCGCCTATGGTCAGTTTCGGGTGGAGGCGAAACCCGTGCCAAAGCCTCTTCGTTCCGCCGTTCGACAGACCGGTCCCGATGGCGTCTGTCATCATCGTCGGCCCCTGACTCTATTATCGTCACTTGTCCCTTTCCTTTACCCCCTTTACCCTTGCCTCCTTTTCCACCTTTCCCGCCACCTTCGTCGCCTTTTTTTGGCGTAAAAACCTGAAACAATTATAGTGTAATAAATAATACGCCAAGCAAGAGTCTAAGTTTGTAATGTTATAAATTTGTAACCAAGTTAAGTTCAGTGCCTCTGTCATGAAATTACAGCGGCAGCTCTCGCTATATATATATTTGTACACAAAATGTTGTTTCTTCTTGTGACCGCTAGAGGCGCTGTATAATTTGCTATATAAAATTTTGAAGCAATTGATTACTGTGACAACTGTCACAGTAATCTCGTGGTACAGGCACAGTTTAGACGACAAGGGAAGTACTCTCGCAACGAATATATTATGCGTTAGTCCTCGACTGAAAATTATTTTAACAACCAGGTTCTGTATATGTGTATAATATTCACACAGAGAAGCAGTAGCTACTACTTTAATGGGTTCCCTAAGAAAAAGTTCGTCCAGGGTAGTACTGCCACCTTACCGATTCTTCCGCCAAGCAGTAATATCAGCATTACTGCGTTCCGGTTTTAAAGGGTAAGGGGAGCTGGTGAAATAACAGGCACATGGGACTTGTCAACTTATGTCTCAGGGTGACGGGCGAAATGGCAGTGCTCCTTGGATCTTTGCGATTTAAAGCTCTGAGTGGCACTACAACTGTTATGGACGGGCGTGTAGCTTACCATCAGGTGCACTTGATATTATAAAAAAAATTATGACTATAACTATGGGCCCACATTCTACACCGTTTACGCAAATTTCGAAAGAAAATTGTTTAAAAAATCTTTTATTGTAGGTGAACTTGAGTACCTTTCGGAAAATGTGCGTCTTGGTATCTTGAAGTGCGGTTTGATGCGTGGGAGCGGGTTCCGGTTCTGGGTCGCTGTCGTGTGGCGACGCGACGGGCTCCACGGCTTCCGCTGCGACCCCCGCCGGCGACTCAGGCTTCTTGCGCGGCCGGCCTGGTCTCCGCTTCTTGCTAGCGGGCTCCGAGGCATTCTTCTTCGGCCGCCCGCGCTTCTGCCCCGTTGACGCCAGCCGAGGTGAAGCCTGAAACGGGCGTTTAACATTAGCGCTCGAGTCTTCTTTTAGCGTATTTTAAATTCCAACTATTACACTTGACAGATAATCAATAGCGAAGATCTTACCGCATATTGCCGTAGAATCGTGATCGTATCGGACAGTGTGATACATGTATGTCTATGTACTCACCGTGTGGCTAAGTGTTCTACAATGTTAATGTGTGAGATACACAACAGATATGCCAGCGAGAGCGCGCATTTTGATACTGGCCATATGACGGAGTGTCATATGGCCAGTATCAAAAGGCTGTTTTTATTACAAATACCAGTTAGCTCAATTGGTAAGAGCGGTGGCCCCGGTACGGCAACAGACGCTGGTTGAAGCCCAGTCGGATCGAAAGAATTTTTTTTTATTGTTCGGTCTTTTATATCAATAATATTATATAAAAATTATGAAATGCATTCCCGATGTAACATGCCTTAGAAATATTGTTGCAATAACCTGGCAGTTAAAATTTGCAGAGTTTTAATGGTGCGATGTGCAGTCACCAACGAAGACCAAAGAGGGAGAGCTAGGAGAGAAGGGTCATTTGAGTTAAAAACTTACCATATCACAGAGATATACTCGTAGTACTCGGGAGATTGGTCGAGCTATTGTCCCATGAGCCTAGTGCTGCACGACAACGGTAAAACTGTCGATATTAAAGTGACTTCGAAAACTAACACAATACCGTTATTGTTACTAGTTTTCGATATCGATTGCCAAAGTATCGACAGTTGTGCAACACTACTGGAGCCTGTAAATACTCACCGTGGTGCGGTGGCGGCGTGGTGCATCCTCTTCGCCGGAGGAATTGTCCGAGTCTGACAACTCGGAGAGTGGCGGCGCTAGTGTCGCGTGAGACAGTGCGCTAGTGCTCACCGTGTTGTGCGAGCGCGGCGCGTCCTCGTCGCTGGAGACGGCGGACGAGCGGTTGGCCGTGGAGCGCCGCCGCCGCACGCCCGGCGACGGCGATGACGCGTCCGTGTCCGCCGTGTCCGACAACTCGGAGATCGGGCTCTGAAAACGGCAATTCGCATTATATACCTATACTATCGTATAAAAAAAGTGCTGTAAGTCCCAGTACAATGTTTTGTAATTTCATTATACCAAGAATCTTTCTACAGTTAACGATATTTGTAATTTGTAAAAAAACCATATTTGTATTTAAAATTTTTATTGAATTTTTTCATTTTTCAATTCAATTGTTTTTTGTGAAATTACTCCACAGACCGAACACTCAGAAAAATTTCCTTCGATCCGGCCAGATTCGAACTGACGTCTTCTAGCATACCGTGCCAGACGCTATACTAACTAAGCCACGGAACGAACCAGCGGACCTCACGAATTTATCTATGTGCTTGTTGTCGTGTCTTTGTATTTGGCTTTTCCGGCCAGATAGAAAGAATTTTTTATGAGTGTTCAATCTTTCTATTAATAATTATAACAACCATATTTGTGTTAATTTTTTGCCTATTTTTCAACGTTTTTAGTGTTATTTTTACCCTCTAATTTTTTTTACTTGTTTAGTTACTTGTACGGAGACACGGTATGCTTGAGGTACAGGTTAAACTCTAGTGCGGCTGCAGAGGCATACTTAAATTGCAATGTACAATTTTTTTGCTTTAATTTATAATTAACAATTTTGCGTACAGTCCTGTACAAAATTGTTTAAAGTAAAAATAAACATTATTGTTATATTATCATTACTCATCAAGGCAAAACAAATTCGTTTTTCAACAGAAATAGCTTGTTTTGCAAAATACGTACAATTATAATGGCCGGATAGAATTCTTTCATATCTGTTGTTCAAAATAATTTACATGTCCGTTTTCTATGTTATTAATGTCAAAAATTACAAAAAATTAAAAATTCCTTTTGCAGCTTTTTCTACAATAACTGTTTTTGATATAACAGTATTATTGGATTGTCACGGTGAAGTAGTTGATTAATTTATTTAATATTATAATAGTTTTAGTTTTTGATTTTTTAGGTTTAAGCTGATGATCTTGTAACCAAAGATCAATAAATATATATATATACCTATAGGAAAGAGAAAATGGCGGGTTTTTGTATTTACCGTTTTTACACGAATTAATTTTTTTGATTAAGTATCTATACGTTGTGAGGTGATTAATTATTTATTACTTTTTTAAGCTGATGGCTCCATAGCCATTGCTTAATAAAAATAACAATAAAACTATATACTTATTAGCATTAGCTATAAACGTGTGCTTAGCTTAGCATTACTTGAATATGATCCATATAACTTGTTTCCCACCAGCTTGCCTAAAATTTTCCACGTTTTGGTTCACTAAATTCACCAAATTTTATGCTCATTTTTATATGTAGAATAACTTAAGCATTGAAATGAAGCGTACTAGGATCTTGTGTGCTAATAAATGTTGTTGCATTTAAGTGTCACTAAGGCGCCACTTTTTGTTAAGGTAGGTGTTTTTTGCTTTACTAACGGCAATTTTCACCACTGGTGTCCATACACGTTACCATACTTGCCTTATTTATACTATGGTATTACTCTAAACATAAGCCAATTAATTAAGAGACAGGCTTTTCTAAATTAAAAATGTTGAATCTTTAATATCTTGTAGGCAACGACAAGATTGAAGCAGCGCAGTTTTACTTATCCATAAATGCACATTGTACTTCTATATATTTTTTTTTTAATGTCGGTGATCAAGAAATCTTACAAGGGTTTATTGATCAACAATAAAACCGCAACGAACCGTAACAAACCTCTTCAGTCAAACTCTCAAGTTTACAGCACCGGAAGTTTGCCAATTCGTGAACTTGGCAAACTGTTCAAATAACCCTATCACCGAATGGAAGATACTTAATTTTATTCATGATACTTTGTCTTAAGGCGAGTCACCGGAGAAGAAGCGGTAAAAACTGTTTTGCTAGATCAAATGGTTTAGGTATTTAGTATTAAATAATGGTCTTACAAAAAATATACGATTCACCTAAGGGTATTGTCTAAAGGACGTGCTAATTTGTTATACGATAGGATGTACAAAGTCTAAAATAAATTATTTAAAAATGAAATATTTAATTTTACACATAATTTTTATATGAAGATATTTACATTTAAGTACTACAGAGAACTTGCTAAATTTTGGTTTTCAACTGAGGCTCTATAGCTATTAAATTTCCATTTATCACATCAATTTGCAAATTGCCCAGCGGTTTGACGACGGTTAGCCGCCGTCGGGCGCTTGTCGACGTCGGATATGTATCAAATTTTCTGCGCCTGTTCGTATTTTATTCATACTAATTAAGAGAACGCGAGGGCCGACCCCCACACCTCACCTCCTAAAATGTAGGCTCGCGTAAAAATACCTCGCCTTAAATAATCTTGGTAAAGTTTGAAATGTATCCATTTTTTTACTAAGTGCGTATTTGACCTTCAGCCACGTTGAAAATGATTAACTCCATACAAAAATAATTCGAAATCTAGTAATTTAGCTTACCGGTTTTCCTTTGACATCAGCCAAGGCATGTCTGATTTCCTTAGAAGAATCATAGGGTTGGTCGGGGGGCTGCGCGGGTGGCGGGGCGAAGTTGGACAACGACCAGGAGGATCGATGCGCTGGAGGCGCGGGCGTAGGCGCAGGTGCCGGTGCAGGGGCCACGGGGGGCGCGGTAGGGGGGCCTGACGACTCCGTTGATGACGTCTCCTCGCCCTCCGTATCCGAAGGGGACGATTCACTGCTCGAGCTTGGACTGGTTCCAGAACCAATGGGTGTTAAGATTCTGGAAAAAACAATAACGATCATACAACACAAACAGAAAAAAAACTTTTTAAAGGATACTGCCAGAAGACTGTCGATTTTTATGATATCTAGTGACGGCATGAGAAGTGGTAAGTTTAAAACACAAAGATCTAAGGGGCACTGCTACTGCGCCCGTCACCCTGAGAAGGAAGTTGACAAGTCCCATATGCTTGTAATTTCGCCAGAATCTAGTTATATTAGTTCTTTGTAAAGTTATAAATTTCTTCTATTATTTGTCATTTTTCAGTGGTTTCATATAATAATTAAGGTTTTAGTTTTCGTTGATTTTAGTGAATAAGTGTACAAAGTTTTTATCTATCTTTATTTTTCGAGATGCAAAAATATTTTAGTACCAGGACGCGACGGAGTGAATTAGTACAGTAGTAAGGAAATTAACGTATTGCAACTGATAGCATTTTATCAATTATAAAAACTGGGAAACAATCGAATTTCTTGTCAATGCAACGATGTACTCACTATCAACAAAGATGAAGCTTTCCCAGTCCGAAACAGTTTTCTTTGTAAGCGAAGGTTGTAGCTAGTTCTGTCCCTTATCTTGTGAAAGCATTTTTTTTTAGTTATTCCTATATCGACCCTCAAAAGTCAAAACGTCTAACGTGCAATTGGAACATATAATAATTTATTTTACATAAAAATAGAACATACATGGCATAGATTACAATTAAACAAGTTTTGTACAACAGTGTCTAAATAGGTGGCGATACATTCCACCCCTGAACTAGGTGGTAACCTGTGTCTCAGGGGTTTAACAGTAGAGCGATTTAAATTAACTTTTTAAGAAAACAAAAATCATAACTGTAATGTTATTTGTTATATAGAAAACTAGAAATTTTCATCTTTTCCATATTATATATATAAAGCTACAAATCCTGACTCACTTAGAAAAATAGAACGCATACTTCCCGATATGATGGAAATAATATCTTATTTATTTATACAACTTATAGCGTTGTTGTATCTCGACAGTCTCTCTGTTAGATTCTTTTTTATTGGAAGCTGTGCCAAAAAGAGAAGTATTTAGGGAAAAAATGCCAGACAATCACTTTAAATTTCTGGTTTCAAACCAGGGAATTTCCTGTACTATGAGTACCAGAGCAACGATATTTAAAGTCAGGACCAACTTAAAAATGTTTTTTTCATAAATAGGCTCAAATAAGGGATCGAATGAAACCTCCTCATCAAGCGCCCATAGTAATCACTGTGCCACCGAAGAGGATAAGCACACCCCATCATCTGAAAGCGACCACGCGCCGCAGGCCGAGCCCGACCCGTACAGGGCTCGTAACAATTAAAATTAGAGTTATAATTTCTTTTTATAAAAAAAAATAATTTAAATCGCTCTCCTGTAATATTTTCCAAATGCATCTTAGACGTTTTACCGTTCCAGTGTCGATACGTAATTGCTATTAAAGAGTCACGATGACCATTGACATGCAATACATGATTAGGGCCTTGTTTTTGTTTTTTATTATTATACAAGAACATCAAATTTTATTTGTATACTTTCATTTGAATATTTTGTTAACAAGTACACTCTGTAGAAATTTTATATTTTTCGTATTTCTCGCTAAGGGATTTTTGTATTCTTTTGAGAAATAAATATCTTAAACTATATGTATATAAACCATTATATTAAAATATGACCTAGTCCTTAAACGCTATTGGTTGACAACAATATGCTGACCGCCGTTGCCAGCACGCAAAATATTCCATTAAAAGTAAATACCACCTCAGTAAAGTCATTTTAAAAATGTATATCGTATACATACGTGTTCTTTTTAGGTCAGTTGTTATAAAAATAATCATTGGTAAAGTACGTATTGAATACAGCTGTTTTGTTGTAAAATTTCGAGGTACGTTTGTATTTTTTTTCTATCGTGAAAATTTTTAAGAATCGTGTTCCCACACCTTATAATAATCAGTGCATATCCTCAATTTTGCTATATTTTTTTATTATTTTTTATTTTATTATTATATATTTTATTATATTGATACAACACTTTTACTGTTATGCGGAACCAGCCAAAGCCAATTGAGGTTGTAACATCGAGTTTGTTGATACCTAATATTTATTATAGTTAGTATTGAAGTGACGTAGGAAGTGTAACATGTTGTTCCTAAAAACTTGCGGTTTTAATTATAAAATGCTCATTAGAGCATTATGTTCTAGCGCTCGCTCAAAGACATTTTAAACGCCACCGGCAACGCATTACGAGTGAACTGTAGAGGAAAAAAAATAAGCTCCAACTCGCCAAAAACGACTTCTATCGAGATGGAAAAAACGGCTTACAAATTTTAACCATTGACACGTTGTACTTTTTGAAATAAGCGTACTTATCAAAGGACTTTTCAGTTAAACTTGTTTTAGTTTGAAAGTACAAAATCGTTTAGGGAAACATTTAAACCCACAGATTTTACGTTAGAAAAAGCTCTGAGTGGCACTGCAACTGTTATGATACTGAGGACATGCGTGTCGCTTAACATCAGGCGTAGAACTTCTTCGTCCCGTCACTTAATTATAATAAAAAAGTTAAACCTAGAATACCCCTAGATGGCCTTGTTTTGAAATATAATAGAAAACTTACGGCTCTAGTCTGGTGGTTGTGGCGGCGACCTCGTCGTCACTCTCTGACAGTCCAAGATCTTTGTTCACCACATCACTGCGACAGAAAGAACCCAATAAGAAATAAATTATTAAGGCCCCTCATACACAGACGATTCCTCTTTTCGATCGATACACTATCGATTCGTCATTTCGATCAGTCTGAAACAACGGATCAGGAAGGCAAATCGTCTCGTAAATGAGGGCCTTTAACCTTATAGGCTGTGATCTCATATTTAGAATCGAAACTGGGAATCGAACCCGGGACCGCTGCGTGGCAGTCCAGCGTGGTAACCGTTCGGCTACGGAGGCAGTAACTAGTGGTTCCAAAGAAATTAGGAGATTTGGGGCCCTGGCCGCAAATTAGGGAGTTTTCTGTACCTATCCAGAGAAACGGAATTCACTAACTACCCAGATCACCCAGAACAATTTAGAAATTTTATTTCTATAATTGGTCCTCCCGTGAATTGAACCTGAGACATTCTCTCCCAACGCAAAGTCCAATTTGTTGGGCCACTAAGGTGAACATAATAATACTTAACATTATATAGGAAGGACTCTCTAAAGGAACTTTGACAAGAAATTATGGTACGTTAACATAAGTATAATATAACAGATAATTATATAAGGTATTGTGATACTTACGGTGACACGGAACTTCTTGAGTTCGATATCCGATTGTCCAAACCTGGAAAAGAGGAGAAAATTATGTTAATTTTATATAAAACACTTTTAGGTATTAAATTAAAAATTAAAAATTTTGTGATATAAACCTAAATTCATTAACAAAACACACTTCCGGACACATAATTCGAGCCACCACGCACTTTCAGTATTAAGTGCCCCTAAGCTTAAACAATATTTGATTGAACAAAAACTATTATGCAATTTTGAAACTAGTATACTAAACGTCTTTTAAATAAGTCCTTGTTGGGAATTTGGATTTGCAAAACCGAAAGAAAAATCTTTTTCTTCGATGATAACACTATTTTTGTATTCTAGCCCTTTAGGACAAAAATGCTAGGTGACTCGAATTATGTGTCCGGCATTATATCTCAGTATTCATTATTTATTTATTAGCAAACGTGTAAGTACATTATGTTAGAGCGTAGGTAAAAAACAGAAAACAAGCAAAGTTACAGATAAATATTTAGTTATTGATCAAATGCAACTAAATACGTTCAAATTTTAATTATTCCATTATTACAATATAAATTGCGCTCAACTTTAAAATGTATCTAAATTATAAATGTAAATTGCTACGCACTAACAAGATATGACAAACATGTACCTACTACAGTCCTAAGTTTATTAATCTGTACCATCCACGTGAAAATGAAAAAATAAACAAATATAAAAGAATAAATTAAAAAGTAAGCAATAAAAATATTAAACTAACCAGTCTTAATAAAATAATGACCTTTTACATTATACTAATTAATATAAATCGTGGAAACTACAGAGAGGTCACGTTCTTTGTTATTGTGGTTATGTTTATATAGATTTCCTTATGTTTTTTTCTTCATAGGTATAATAATTCATTAAGAAGTTTACAAAAAGTCGAATCCGAAAACGGATTTCATGTCACTAACAGATAGATATAATTGTCAATTACATTGTATAACAATAAATTGGTCCAAGGAACTGATATCAGAACTGTAGGTAGGAAAGCCAGTATTTTCCTGGCAAGCCGTTCAACTCGAAATTTAGCCTGACATTCAGAGTGGAATGTCAAAGCCTATATTTGGAAACCCATTTGCTATATTTCAATTTCCGAAATCCATTAATGGTTTTTGAAAATATATTGGTTATGACATTTCGCTTTTAAGTTATAGGATTAAGGGGACAGGTCACCACCCCAAAAAGGGAGCAAAAGCATAACGCTTTTTCTTAACAGTGTTCCTAGATGGTCACATTTATTACATTTTTCATAACTTTTGATCCTCTAGCGTGATATGTAACTTTTGTTTTTGAGACATTTTAAATTCCACTATATTTTACACGTTTAACGTTCAGACATTTTAAATTCCACTATATTTGTTACTTTAAATCCTAAGTAGTTTATGAATGCACTTAAAGTAGACAATAAAGTAACTCAGAGATAATGCAAACAAAACTCAACTGAACTCAATCAATTACGGTTGATTTTTCTTGAGCGCACTTACTTTTTATTTATAGGATATATTTAGGTATATCTTCTACATAGGAAATGAAACTATTTTTCCGGATTTAAATCGCGTATATTTGTTTTTTCAAACAAACCGACGTTTCGGGCCCGGTAAGGTTGGAAAAAACAAATATCCGCGATTTAAATCCGGAAAAATAGTTTCATTTCCTATGTGTAACAATCGCGAAAACCTAAGAACTCGATATATATCTTCTACAGTTATAATTTTTAATCAAAGCTGCCTGCTTATCGGTATTCTACAGGATATATCACGGAGAGTGCGATAGAATTGCAGAATTTAATTCCGCCTTCACCTTTTCATCATTAGGGGGCTAGACGTAGGCTGGGGTTCCAACCCTACGTTAAAAATATTCCAATGATTCGCATAAAGCGTGACACTTCCAGATTCATATGGCGAACGTTTACGGAGTGGAATTTTTTGTCTCCAGACATATTCCCTGAACGCTATAACTAAGGACTTTTTAAGGCAAGAGTGAAAAGGCAATATTTAAAGGTGCATGCTCCATCGTCGACTTCATCGTCACTTTCCATGAATTGGAGGTCAAATACGCACTTATTCTATCATAAAACAACGACCTCGTAATATATAACATTTGCAGCAAAAAGTTAATCATTATTATCATTGCATCATCAATGACGACCGGTGCGCGGTCGCCATTGAAGAACCCTTCTGCCCCAACGGCCATCGGTTTTCCTAGCTATGTGTGCCACTTCAGCTGAGCAATTCTTTGAGCTATGTCGGTTACGATAGTTCTCCTCCGGATTTCCTCATTTATGATTCCATCACGTAGAGAAATACCGAGCATCTCTCTCCATTGCCCGCTGAGTGACTTTGAACCTTCTTATGAGGGCAACACACACTGGTCAAAGACTTTCGTCTTGAGACACATACAATCATAATCATAATGGAAGGATTTTGTACGTTTGGTATTCTGCTACAAGTTAAGAATAGTGCCTCATCAGTGACTAGCCATCGAGCTACTAACCAACTGCCATTGCAATTTTTCGGTATTCTGCTCTTCGACGGCACGTCGATAACGTAGTCTACTTATTATGCCAAATAAAAAAATACATTTAATTGTAAGACTAATTTGCAGCTTATTAAAATATGAATAGTAATCTCCAGGTTAGGCAACATTGATCGAATGAATGAATGCTATCACAGCCATTCGACTAAAACTCAACAGCAGAATAAAATATATTGTCATAATTGCAATATAACCTCAGTGGAGTCTCAATGCAATTAAAATGACCAGTGATTTAAAAATAAATTGCAGAACTGGGGTCCAGATAACACTGGCAACACTGTTCTTTACAGAAAATTCGTAAACAAGTAATGGGGAATATTTAACGCAACTCAAAAGCTAGTAAGCATACGTGATACAATCGTGAGAAAGAAACACAGCGTTCGTATATGGTAATGTTTTCTACGTAGAGACCTGCACTTAGTTTGAATCTGTTATTACAATGCACTCACCAACTTAATAACACCGAATCGGATTGCGTAAAGTGGTTGATTGATACGTAAATGTGCAATATGCATGAGAAAAATGATGTTAACTGCCTTTTATGTTTATACTTTTAATTTATCCTAATTGTATATTAATAACGCCTTATGAAACAACACTCAATGCTAATTTTCACACAACTCGTACTGAAAGATTGTAAAGAGAGAGAAGAAATACTGGGTGAAGTAATATTTTCTTAAACTAATGCAGGTAGCAAAAATTATTGCAGTTTATATATCGCAGCAGTCATTCTTACGTCGGCTTAATTCGAAAACCTCCATTAATGTGAACTTTTGAGTAGGCACAAAAAACTGAATTACTGGAAATAATTGTACAACAACCTATGATTACAACTTTACTTTATAACTAAAAGTAGGTGTACAAATTATATTTTAAGCTTTAATTGCTCGATATTACGCTTGTAGAGTAAAACGGGATTTCGTCCAAAAACGGAGTTACGAGGTTTTCAAATTTAGCCGAGGTTATGTATCTTTTATGATAACAAGTGAAGGAACGAACACGTTGTGCGCCTGGCGGTAAGCGACACGCCTGTCCATAATAGTTGCAGTACCGCTCAGAACTTTAAATTGCAAAAACGTGAAGGGTACTGTCAGTGCGCACGTCACTCTGGACATAGGTTGACAAGTCTCATGTGCGTGTAATTTCACTATTTTTTATTGGATTTAAGATGATCACCATTGAATTAAAATAATAGGGGTTAAAGTATGAAATTGCCGATTTGTACTGAAAATCTAAATTGTTTATTTTTTAAATTTTTAACAAATTTATTTAATCAAAATAGTTGCCATTATTATCTATACATTGCTGCCATCTAATGGGAAGGTTATTAATGCCTTTGCGATAGAACTCCGACGATCTAGACTGCACAAACTGTGTGAAAGCATTTTGTACTGCCTCCTGGGAAGAAAACTTCTTGTCACGTAGATAATTGTCCAAATCACGAAATGGTAGTCCGTTGGAGCAAGGTCTGGTGAATACGGAGGATGACGAATGGTTTCTAACTGCAGTTCCTGAAGGGTCAAAATGGTTTCTCGTGCTGTGTGAGGTCTCGCGTTGTCGTGGAGCAATAATGGTGAAGATCGATTCATGAGTCGGGGCTGTTTTACTGCTAGTTTTGTCAACATGGTTCGGAGTTCGGCACAATAGACATCTGCCGTTATTGCTTGACCAGATCGGAGAAAACTATAGTGAATAACACCATGCTGAGACCACCAAACAGTTACCATTACCTTTTTATTGGTAAGTTTTGCTTTAGGACACTGTTGTGGCATTTGACCTGGGGTCAGCCATTGCATTTTTCTTTTCCGGTTATCATAAAGAATCCACTTTTCATCACATGTTACAATTCGATCCAATATTCCTTCATTTCTGTACCGGTTCAACAAGGCAACACAAGTTTCAACACGCGTTTCTTTCTGCAGATCAGTCAAATCATGAGGCACCCATTTTTCGTATTTTTTTATTTTATTGATTTGACGCAAGTGAGTCAATATTGTGGGTAAGGTAACGTTAAACCATGCCGCTAATTCCTGGGTAGTTTGACTAGGATCGGCTTCCACTATCTCTCTTAATTCATCGTTATTCACCTGTGTGGGCGGTCTTCCTCGTGACTCGTTCTTTAAGTCGAAATTTCCATCACGAAAGCGTTTAAACCAAAATCGCACGGTGCGTTCATTAGTAGACCCCTCTCCAAACGCAGCATTGATATTGCGGGCTGTTTCTGCCGCGTTAGTTCCGCGTCGGAACTCGTATTCAAAAATCACTCGAATTTTCGCAGTATCCATCTTTCTTGTCTAAATTGAATAACAAAAACAATTGAAAGTCGATATTCAAATGTTACAAATTTAAAAAAAAAATCACAGAAACCATTTGAAAAAAGTTTCATTCGAAAACCTCAAACCATAAAGATTCTATGAAAATTCAAAGAACCTATTGCAATAAAACGGCAATTTCATACTTTAACCCCTAATA